ACTCCTTCAGAAGCTGCTTCTTCTGGTTTCTTCTCAGCTACTTCCTCAGACGCTGCTTCTTCTGGTTTCTTTTCACTCACACCCTCAGAAGCTGCTTCTTCTGGTTTCTTCTCAGCTACTCCCTCAGACGCTGCTTCTTCTGGTTTCTTCTCGGTCGCTTCCTTAGAGTCTATCTCTCTTTTTTTTTCCATAATGTCTTCATCTTTATTCTTAAGGTCTGCAGGGACTTTTGCAGTTTCGTTATTGCCAGAATCCTGCGGCTCTTTCAAAATTGATGCACTACCGTCAACAATTTTTCCCTTTGCATCCTCCGTGTCGCGAGCCCTGCGGCCTGAAAGAATTTTTTTATTTTTTTTCACAATGTTTACAAAAAAGGCAGAAGAAGACGTCGTTTTTTAGCGTTCTTTTAAAGTTTAAGGTATTTTATTCCCAAGGTTGTATTAGAAATTTTAGGAAAAACTAACTTATTCCGCTGCCGCAGTTTGGAAGAGGGCAGGCGTATGTTGCGGCTGCGAAGGCGAGGAAGCAGACAACCAGTTGAGAAAATGCTAGCATCTCTGGAAAATTGTGTAGTTTTTATTACTTTGAGCTTCATGTGAGGAGTCCGAATATAAAATAAGTGAACGTCGAATGTTAATTGGGTATTTGCGAATGGAAAATCGAAAAAATTAGAAAGTTGAAAATCTGGAGAAAGAAAAAAGATTTGGCAATTTGCATCTTTTTAGAACAACGATATCCTTCGAATGTCTTCCACATATACTGATTAATTTACATTTGTTAAGCTGACAGCAGAAAAGTTACACTTTAAAAATGAAACAAGAGTAAAAGTGAAGAAATGAAATAAAAAAGTTCGATTTAGGTCATTGAAAAGGTTGGAAAGCAGTTTGTAGAGAACATGAAAACGCGAATGACTGAGAAGCCTAATAAGCTTTTTGCGACTTTGAAGAATACATAGACGGAATTTATAGGGCGTTTTGGAAACAAAGAGGATCCTGTTCAGCGATGGTGAAAATCTGATTTTTTGTAGCATAATAAACAGATTTTTGATAATGCTGGTTATGTTGTGCATTAACTGGTTTATTACATAAAAAAAAGGAGCGAAATATTGAGCGTTTATTTGACCAGGCATGTCGAACCAATTAAATTGCCATTAATGAAGCTTCCAGTTAGTAATTCCTTGAATTTTTTAGCACTTCAAGTTACGTTATGCTAAATGTTTAATTAATTTTCAATATTCGGATATAAACAGATTCACTTTTTTTTTAAATCTTGCTTTTTTATTTATTTATTTTATTATTTTTTGCAAGTCCTAAAGCTACTAACACAGTTTTTTTTGTTGTGACAAAATTTGAAATCATTATTTATAATATTTTACAGATTAGTAGGTGCAAATTTAGCTATGCTTAATGAGTGACATTCTGGTGTTGCTTTACCTTGCAACTTATGACAGTGGGGATGTTGCGTGACAAAAACAGAGTTGGTAGGAAGTTACGGCTAAATTACTGTATAGTAAATTGAATGTTCATTATGGCAAATGTTAGCTGTGTGATAAGCATCTAACAGAACGAAGTAATCGTAATTTGGTCAAGGGTAACGGTGGTAGTTGTATTGTTTTTTTTTTTTTTTTTTTTTTTTTTTTTT